TGGAGATATTTGTCGACCCAATGGTCACTCAATGCTGTCGACAAACATATTGCAGTCAATGTATCCATTCGTGGCTCTTAGGACACAATACATGTCCTAATGATAGAAAACTTATGCAAACGGAAAGCTTAGTACCGGCGCCCAGATTTGTATCAAATATCTTGAATAATATGAAAGTTAAATGCGATTTCCATGGGAATGGGTGTCAGAAAGTCATCAAAATGTGTGAATTGACAGAACATGGGTTTCAATGCGGGTTCAATGGGGATTTAAAGTGCAAAACCTGTGGTTTTATTAAACTTAATGATCGACACAATTGTGTGGAAAACCTATTGATTGTCAACAAAACTATTAGCACTGAAAACGAGAGATTGAAAACTGAATGCAAGGATTCTGTGAGTGTCTCATATAATATACTATTTATTAATTAGTCTATAATTTACTGTATATTACAGAGTATGTTAGGAGTGATAGGGAGGGCTCGCCATCATCTCAACAAATATCACATCGAAAGCAAGTTCTGGTCCATAGCTGAGGCCGGGTATGACTTGCGGACCAGTATTAGTGTCTCAATCGATGCCATACTTAACAATAATAGTTATAAAGACATCTCAACTCATATTATAAACGCATTGAATGGGTGTGAAGAGGGAACGGGATGTTGGAGTAAACGCTGGAATTGTGTGGTATTGTCGAGAAGTGGTGGTGAGAGTGATATCTGTGCTGTCGATGACTACTTCAGGGTATCATTTGGCGACTTATTTATTGTCATATTTTCTGTCCCTAACCATTAAGTTATATATAAGGAGATAATTTACATAATTAAAATAAACTAGTACAACTATTAAACAAACAATTTCATTTAACTAATGGTAAAAGTTTTTTCTAAAACTTTTAAGCGCTCAAAGTTTTTGAAGTTATTTTGTAAGCGTTTTCTATGGGATAACCACTTAATTGGGAGTTTTGTTTTGATTTTGCATTGAATTCACAGAAAATATTATTTTCTGAAATAAATCTGAAATTAAAACTTATTTTAAATACAATTGAATTAAAAGTGATATTAAATTGAATTAAGGATTAGTTGTGAAAATGTGTGAAATACTGATCAATGATTTGGTGGAAGAGTTGAGTGAAGAAAATAAGAGACTTTTAAATGAGTTATCATTTGAGAGNATGTGTGAAATACTGATCAATGATTTGGTGGAAGAGTTGAGTGAAGAAAATAAGAGACTTTTAAATGAGTTATCATTTGAGAGACAATTGAATGAAATGTTAGAAAATTTCCGAAAATATTCATTGGATTTGAAAACCAATTGTTTTTGTCATCAAAATAAACAGACTTTTGATTTGTTGGATCAGTTGGACAGACATTACAAGACATTATGGGATACGAGAGATAGTAAAGGAAGTGATGGATGTCTTCAACCGATTAAAGAGATAACACTTTCACTGAAGAAGAGGAAGAGATTGAGAGTTAAGACAAAAACACATGATATGAATGAAGACATGAGTGACTCGAGTGATGACACCATTGATGACAACTGCAGTGATATCTCGTATAAACCCGAAGACATAAATGAGGGAAAAGTGGTTCAAAAGACTAAACGATTGAATACCCGATCAGTTGTGTCGAAGTCTATGACATGTAATGAGACATCGAATCAAATGAATAGCGAAAATGTTTTAAAGAGATTTGTTTGTGAAGACAAAAATTGTGGCAAAAGTTATATAACTGGAGAAGGTTTTAAAAAACATATGGAAAGCCATGGAATTACTCTTAAAGGTCCGATTAAATGTTCGCTTTTTGAATGTGGGATCACATCGAGTGATAGTAAAGAACTCATTGAACACATGGAAAGGGATCACAAAATTGATAACATATTTGAATGCAGTTATGAATCTTGTAGTCAACCCCTGTTTGCCACGGAATGGGAACTCGAATATCACGTGAATTGCAGGCATTTTAAAGTATTTAAATGTCAATCAAGTGGTTGTGGCAAACAGTTTAAGGAATTAAAGGCTCTTAAGACACACGGGAACCGATACCACAGAGGGAAGTGTTTCGCGTGTAATGTCGAGGGATGCGATTACATGACTAATAATCCATCGCATATGAGGACTCATATGCCTCGACATATCCACGGCTTATCTTTCCAATGCACTCATGAGTCGTGTGGTAAACGATATAAAAGCAGTTCAGCCCTCAAGGAACACATAAAAATCGGTCATACGATTGAGAGACCATTTGTTTGCGATCACAAAGACTGCGGCAAACGGTACGCAACGAATACCCAATTAACGGGTCACAAGAATTTCAGACACCGGAAAGTAGGCGTCAATTATTTTAAATGTCCCGAAAAGGGCTGTAGATTTTGGGGTAGAAGCCAACAGTCATTAGACTCGCACGCAAGTACACACAATGAGGTGCGAGTGTATCGGTGCGAATGGCCCGGTTGTGACTATACGGCCACTAATTACGGGGCCCTTAACAGCCATCGACAGAATAATCACTCGGCTGTGGGCGTGTATGCGTGCGATTGGCCCGGATGTGAGTATAAGACAAGTCTTAAGCGAAACCTCTGTCGCCATAAACTCAATCATATTGAATACAAATACGTATGCGAATGGCCCGGATGTGCACAACGGTGTAAAACCACACAATCATTGAATAAGCATTTGATGATACATTCGGGGGACAAGCCGTTTGCGTGTGAGTACGAGGGCTGTGGGTATCGGAGCACTCATAAGGGGAACGTCGCCACCCATATGTTAGTCCATTTGAATGCTATGGGAAAGGCTGTGAAGTTGTCCTGTCATTGGCCTGAATGCGGGAAACAGTTTATACGGAAAATGGATTTGAAAACTCATTTAAAGAGACATTCGTCGAAAAGTCATTCAAATGTGCGGCCAATGGCTGTGGATTCGCCCAAAGACTCAAAAGTGTAAAAAATATTTGAATATTGACCGCAATTACTGTAGATATGCAGTCAATTGAGTGCTTTATAGTTAGTGATTAATACTTAAGTTATGTAAAGAGTTATAAATAATTTATTTATGTTTTATATAATAACTTGTAATAAAAATTTTAATTAATTAAAAGTGTTTACACTTTGTTAATTCAATTTAATGTATGAAAAGTTTTAAAGTTTTTGTATTTTTGGGACATTTTCTATGGATTGTGTGATTGAGAGACCATTTGTTTACAAAACTGTAAACACTTTTCAATTGAAAGTTGTTTTCATTTTAATTGCAATTAAAAGAAGTTTTTGTTTAGAAATGAAAACAATGTCTGAAATACTGATCAATGATTTGGTGGAAGAGTTGAGTGAAGAAAATAAGAGACTTTTAAATGAGTTATCATTTGAGAGACAATTGAATGAAATGTTAGAAAATTTGCGAAAATATTCATTGGATTTGAAAACCAATTGTTTTTGTCATAAAAATAAACAGACTTTTGATTTGTTGGATCAGTTGGACAGACATTGCAAGACATACTGTCAACGCATACAAAGTCAGAAAACAATGGATGAGAGATCATTGTCTCCTAAGAGTCATAGCATTAGAAGCGATGCACAGATGAAGACAACTGAAGATAATACTGAAAAGACATCCAACAATAAGGAAGTGATTGAAAATCAAAGGCAAAGAACCTCTCAATTGAATCTCCCATTAGTTATGTTGAAGTCTATGGCATGTAATCCACAGTTGAATGAATTGAATGATAAAAACGGATTCATATCTCTTGTGGTGTTTAACTGTCAGCACAAAGACTGTGACAAAGGGTTTATGAGTAAAGACTCGTTGGATATCCACTCGAAGACTCATTCCTCTGAAGCGAACAAAACACTTACGACTATTGAGACAAATGATGATAAAAATGTGAATACAATTAAATACAAGAATATTAATAACAAAACAATTATCACTTCAAAGAGTAACCAATTATTTGTTGAAAAGAGTTTAGTTTTAAACAAAACAAGTGTTTCATCGAAAAGACTACTAATTGTGTCAAAGACTACAAGTGGTCCGCAAATTAAGACACTCCAGACATATGGCTGTCCGACCATTGGTTGTTGGAAACGGTTTACAACTAAAGATAATTTAGACATTCATTTGAAAAGTCATTCAAATATTTGTATCAAATGTTTGGTCACTGAATGTGAGCTCACTTTCAATGATAAGAAAGTGTTGTTTAATCACATGAAGAGTGTCCACAATATTGACAACATTTATGAATGCAGTTATGAATCGTGTCATCAATTGTTCACTTCTGGAGATGACATGAAATCACACGTGAATTCACAGCATCTCAATAAAACTACTTCTAAGACCACACCTGTAGTGGTGGTTAAGTCTACTAATAATACAGTTATGAAAACTGTTCCGATGTCTAAATGTCAGTTCAAAAGTTGTGGAAATTGGTACTTAACTAAAGATCTTTTAGACGCTCACTACACGAGAAGCCATTCCTCTGAAGCGAGCAATAGTCAGACAACGAGTGATAAACAACTGGATTTGAATGAAACGATTGATTCATCGAAAACTGATTGTCAGTACAAATGTCTGTTCAAATGCAGTGACATATCCCGTGATAAGCGCGGTCTCTATGAACACATGAAAAGCGTTCATAGCGTTGAAGAACTCATTGAATGCAATGATAAGTCATGTAATGAGATATTTTTCTCATGGAATATGTACCGGGAACATTCCTACGATAAACATGTGGACAAACTATCCAATGATAACTCACTTAAATGCCCTGTCATTGGCTGTGGAAAAGTTTTGGGATCACTATATAGTTTTAGGAAACATCGATTCACTCATTTGCCGGACAATCCAATGAAATGTGTGGTCAATGGATGTGACTATTCGTGTCTATTTGAGTCCAGAATGAAGGAACATATGGTTAAACACAATGGCGTCAAAGCCTATGTATGCACTCACGAGTCGTGTGGTAAACGCTATTTCGACAAATGGAGACTTAATTCACACGTCAAGAGTGTTCACGCAATACACAAACCATTTGTTTGCCGGTATCGCGACTGTAATAAACGGTTCAAAACTAGAGCCCATTTAGTATCCCATAAAACAAGTCATATAATTGTTGGCAAACCATTCAAATGTGAGGAACTGGGATGTGGTCGGGCCTTCAAATGCTATAATAGTCTTCGCAGTCACAGAGTTAGCCATTCGGGTCGTGTGTTTGCGTGTCATTGGCCCGGATGTGACTATACATCCAATAATCCTGGTTGTGTGACCGGACACGCGAGAGGTCATAAGAGTGAGGAGTACCGGTGCGAATGGCCCGGATGTGAGTATCGGACCAAATGGAAAGAAGGCATTAGATCTCACAAAGCCGTCCACAGCTCAGCCCTACTGCACGCCTGTGTTTGGCCTGAATGTGGCAAACGGTTTAAGACTAGAGGAAGTTTGACACAACATATGACTACACACTCGGAAGCACCCATTCCTTGCGATTGGAAGGGCTGTCAGTTTAGTACTAAACACAGACAGGCCTTAAGAGAGCATAAGAAACGAATCCATGGACTCATTAAGTGATAGATTTAGTGTTCATAACTTTATAAACTTATTTCATATCTATTAAAATATATTTTAAAACTAAATGTATGGTCACTAAACACATGATAGTACACACTGGAGCTATGATTAGCTGCCAGTGCAAGGACTGTCCCTTTCAGACCAAACATAGGGCTGCCATGAAAACACACTTACGAGGGGTCCATAAAATTAAGGATTTAATAAAATTTAATTAAAACAAAAATATTGTCAAAAATAATATTTATTTTGTTTGTCAGTTCAAGAGCTGTGGAAAAATATTTATATATCAGGAATATTTGAATTCTCACCTCAAATGCCATTCCTCTGAAGCGGACACAAAACAGACAATTAGTGCCACAGAAGTGAAGGAAACGATAATAAAAGGCAACTCAATAGAAAATGAATGCAATTTAAGAGATTCATTAAATCTAAATAATGTGATTCTTGTGGATCAGTTTGGCAGACATTTTAAGGTTAACGTATCAAATGATAAGGCAAGTAATTTGTATAAATGTTGGTACAAAAACTGTCATTTCATAGCCGCTGGTGATATAAATCTTATTCAACACATGACTAGTTGTCATAAAATTGGTGTCTCAATGGGTGCTAATGACGTGAATTTAAATAAAATTAAAGATTTACCGGAATTACAGTTACATTCAGAGAAAAAATTAATGAAATGTTCGGTTTATGAATGTGTCATCACATCCATGGATAGGACAGAACTCATTGAACACATGGAAAGGGATCACAAAATTGACAAAATATTTGAGTGCAGTTATGAATCGTGTAGTCAATGCCTGTTTGCCACCGAATGGGAACTCGAATATCACGTGAATTCAATACATTTAAAAGTATGGAAATGTCAGTCAATTGGTTGCGGGCAACAGTTTAAGACACATACGGCGCTTAAGAAACACGGGAACCAATACCACGGAGGGAAGTGTTGCGTGTGTGGTCGACGGATGCGGTTTTATGTGTAATAATTATCATCTTTTAAGAAATCATTTGCTTAAACACAGTGACATCAGGCCTTATCAATGCCCACACGAGTCATGTGGTAAACGACCCAAAAGTATATTTAAACTCAAAGTTCACATTCAAACGGTTCACTCCAATGAGAGACCATTTGTTTGTGATCACAAAGACTGCGGCAAACAGTATAAGTCTCGAACGGGACTAATGTTACACAAGAATTATGGTGATTGCGATAAAAACAGTAAACGATTGAGTTGTACGCAAACTGGGTGTGAGCTGTCGTTTGCAAACAAATGTTCGCTCAAATCACACCTAATTAGACACATGACTGGCGGCGAGTATCGGTGCGATTGGCCGGCTTGTGACTATACCGCCAAAAATAAGGATAATTTGCGGGCCCATCGCAGAAGTAGACACATAGATCTGGGTGAGTTTGTATGCCAATGGCCTGGATGCGAGTTTAAAACCAATCTTAAGAAGTACCTGGATAAACATAATACAATTCACGGCGTATACAAGTTCTTATGCGAGTGGCCAGAGTGTGGCAAACGGTGTAGGGATAAGCAGGCATTGGATACACACGTGTTGATACATTTGGGTAAACCTTTTGCGTGTGACTTCGAGGGTTGTGACTATCGGAGCGTCCATAAGGGGAACATTACTGTCCATAAGTTAGTGCATTACCAAGAGATGGGAACGGCTGAGAAGTACGCCTGTCATTGGCCCGGATGTGGGAAAAGCTTTTTGTGGAAAAACTATTTGAAGAGACATTTGTGGACACATTCGGGCGAAAAGCCGTTCAAATGTGCGGTCAATGGCTGTGCGTTCGCCTCAAGACTCAAGAGTTTGTTAACAAAACACATGAAAACTCATAACAAGTAGATGTGGTTCCCATTTGATAGGTTAGGGATGTCTGTCACTCACTCAAGATCTGTGGTTTACATCAAGTCTTGAGTGAAAAAAATAATTATTTGTAATTAATTTTATTTATAATATACATGAAATTTTAATTAAATAAATTGAAACACATTTTGTTTTGTAATTAAAAACTTTATGCAGTTTTAAAAGTTTTGTTTGTTTTGAGACATACTTTGTGTTCAAAAACCGGCGATTTGTTTACAAAACATTTGAACAGAAAATTGATTTTGAATTCAGTTTTGTTTGCATTTAATAATAGTTTTGATTAATATT